CCGCGCTTCCGGCGGAGGGACCCGGCGGCCGCCGCGCCCCTGGAGCCCTCAAGTTTCCTGTTGGCAGTGCGGCCGCGGCGCTTCAGGTAGCGGCGGACAGGCCCGGTTGGCCCGAGGCCCGCCAGGCAGACTTGCGCGGCGGCGCCCGGCCCCTGCAGTTCTGCTGCCCGGTCCAGGCTTGTCCTCGCGCGGCCCCCAGGTAGGGCGCCCACTCCGGCGGCGCGCAGCGGGCGGGCTTCTTCCCCGCGGAGGCGGCTCTTTCTCCTCCGGCTGAGCTGGCCGGAGGAACTCAGGGGTTGGGGTTTTGTAGAGTTGCGCCTCGAGAAAGCTCGGCCCCCCAGCCTCTGCGGCGGGGTGTGCCGCGTACTCTGCCGAGCTCCGGCCGGGCTGGGGTTGGGCACGGACGGGCCCGGGGCCCTGCCGACAGCCCTTCCGCGCCGCGGGCTGTGCGCCCTGGCCAGAGCCGCCGACTGAGCTCGGCCCAGACCCGCCACCTGAGCTCCAGCCCCGGGGCCGCCCCGAGAAAGCTCGGCCCCCCAGCCTCTGCGGCGGGGTGTGCCGCGTACTCTGCCGAGCTCCGGCCGGGCTGGGGCTGGGCACGGACGGGCCCGGGGCCCTGCCGACAGCCCTTCCGCGCCGCGGGCTGTGCGCCCTGGCCAGAGCCGCCGACTGAGCTCGGCCCAGACCCGCCACCTGAGCTCCAGCCCCGGGGCCGCCCCTCAGACCCACGGTATGGCGCTGTCCCCAGAACCTGGTGAGTGCTCATGATGCTGCACTGCTGACCTTGGGTCTGAGTCCCCCGGATCCCGCGGCCCTGGGCGGGAGTAGATCGCCCTGGGGGTCAGAACCTCTGCTTCCAGCTTCCCAGCAACCCACCCTGGCTTCATTCCCGTCCCTGCTCTCCCCCTGCCCCACCCCAACAGGCCCTTGCCCCACCCCTGTTCTTATCTCTGCAGTGGCCAAGGCTCCAGTGGCCTCTGGTGAACCGCCTTCAGCTTGGCTCCCTGGAGGCCTAGGCTGTATTACCAGGGTTTAGAGAAACTAAGGGTCCAGAGACTTGCTGCCACTTAAGCTCCCAGATAAGTTTCTAGGTGCTTGAGGACTGACCAGATGCTGAATGGTGATTGATGGCTGAGGTGGACCTCTACCTGGAAGCAGTGGAGGCGACAGGATGACAGGGTGATGGGGTCATTTGAGACCTTCATCCTTACCTCTTTGACTCTCTCCCTGCAAAGGAGAAGTAATTGTGCTGTCTCTGACAGTTGCTTTTCTGCCCTTGAACTTCCTGGTAGTTGCTTTGCCAGGGAACTACTAATAGCTTGTATTGGCTGGCAGAGGCCTCTGAGGGTGAGTTTTGAGAGGCCCTGGAATAACAAAACCTTGCTAACTAGAGTGTCATTTCCCCAGACTGTTAGGTCTTTGTCTAGCCGAAACTTGGTGATGACATATTAGCCAGGTAGCCGGATAAAACTTGGAAGCACTAGGAGGAATTTAGCATAGTCTTGGGTCCTTGTTGGTCATCCTGCTGGATGTGGTGGTCAACTTCGGGCAAAGTTGGCTGCAGCTGGAGTCCTCATAAGACAAATTCCTTCCTTGAGGAGACTACCAGTGCTGAGTGGTAGTCACTGAGCTCTGCAGATGGAACCCCCATCACTCTCCGAGAGTTGGCAGCAGGTTTGGGGTGGTTAGTGTAGCTTGGCTGTGAGTCTGAGGAGCCCACTTGCTCAGAGATGATAGCAGGGGCTCCCCTGCCTAAGAATCATGGGGTTTATAGGTGTGGGTTGCATGGAGATTTCTGGACCTCTCAGCCCCACCCTCAGTTCATCCTCAGTCCTTCTGAGAGTCTGGATAAGGGATGAGTGGCTCTTAGCTCATTAAAGGATTTTTTTTTTTTTGGAGAGATAAAGCCTATTTTACTTGTTTCTACACTGGACAACTTGCTGTTCAAATAATCTCAAAATCAGTCCTAGGTCCTGCAGATTTCATGGGCAGGTAGGGTTAAGGAGGAAGATGTCTTTTCTCCCCTAAAACTACTCATTGACCTTCTTGGTTCTTCCCCCAGATGTATTAATTTTCAGTTTCTCCATCTACTGCCTGCATATCCTGCACAGGAGGTCATGGCTTTGGACTTTTATGTATAGGGGGCTACAGGGAATGGGCTCTTGGCTGAAGTGCTGGTCATGTACCAGCAGAAAAATCATTTTTAGAGAAGGCTGCTGCTTTTCCTTCTGATCTGGTTTCACATTTAAGCATTGTTTCTTTCTCCTTGCACCCAAAAAGAAGTTTCAGAGAGTACCTGGCACATAATAGTGCTCAATAAATACTGTTGAGTAAAAGGATTTGGTGCATAGATGAAACTGTGTTCACTTCCCCAGTTGGATGATGATGATGACAATGATGTTGATTAGTAATACTTACAAAGCACACGCTATGTGCTGGGTACTATTCTAAGCACTTTACATATGTGTTGACTCATTTAATCATCATGGCCACCTATGAGGTCAGCACTGTTAATAACTCCATTTTATAGTGCATAAAATTGAGCTGGAGAAGTTTAGTAACTTAACCAAGGTCATGCAATGAAGTGTGGAACAAAATTCAAACCTGGGTAGCCTGTCCTGACATTATATCTTTAGCATATCCAGCACTGACTATCTCTTGCCATGGGTGGATTTATCTACTTAGTTTATTCACTCATTCACTATTTTAGACATTTATTCATTCAACCGTTATTTTTTGATGTCTACTGTTTTTCATACATCAGGGTTCAGTAGTGGATGATATTGTTGAGGTCTGCCATAGAAGGGATATTTAATAGGTAAAGCTTCTTTACCCAACTTCCCTGTGAGTCATGCATAGCTTAGAAATGAGAAGGAAAAATGTCCACAGCATCCTACTCAGGAAGAGGAGAGTAATAGCCTTCTTGATTAGGCATAATTTGATTCCAGTCTTTCCTGTCTTTAGGGGCTTTTAAGGGGCATTTAAATGATAAAAGTGAATGTAGTCTGGTCTCCTGGGCAGGAGATGCACACGCTGGGCTTGTTTATCACAGGTCGTCCTAATGTTTCTTCAAAAGGGAAATAAGGCTTTGAACTTGGGACCAGTTTTCCTCAACTTAAAGTCTCTAAGGAGACTTTAAGAAGAGTAGGCCCAGGTGGATTTGTGAGGTCCTGAGTGGAGCGCACCTTCTTGCCCTCTCGGGACAGAGTGCTGATTCCCTCCTAAACTGCCACTGTTCCAGAGGGCCTTCCACCTCTTTGGCTCCACCAAAACCCTTCCCTTGACTGTTGTCCGGATGGGTGTCATTTTAGGGGGACTGCTGCCCTTTTCTGTCCAGACCTACTGGAGTGGGTCTCAACCCCTAGCTTACCCCAGGAAGGCAGCTTTCTCTAGGCTGGAAGATGAAGGCTCAAAGTGAAGATATTTTCCAAAGCCCGTGCCACAGGATATTAATAGGTGTTTTTTCCTGTGGTGCTTGTGGGAGTGTCAAACAAGTGTGTTGAGTTAAACAAAGTGAAGCCGTTTTCTTTACTGTTGGACTTCTTAGGTCTTTACAGTTATCCTCCCTATAGGTTGCTTGTATTCCTATTGCTAGCAGGAATCGTCCATGAATCCCTGTAAGGGGCTGTGGTATGCAGTATTTTCCAAGCCTTTTGACCTTTGATATTTTATAGGCTACACTTTGGGACATGCTTATTTAGACTAAGGCTATCCGTAGTCTGGTTAGAAGTGCAGAATAAAATTCTGTGCATGTGTTGGGTCCAGGTGGTGGGTTGGTTACCTGCATGGGTTAGGATGCTGCTCCCCTTCCCCTTGTCGTATCTTCCCCCTTCCTACTTCCCACACCACACCACACACACACACACACACACACAAACAACAGAAGGAATCATTGCTCCTTCTCCCTTCTGACAGAACAGTACTAAAGGCTTGGGTTTTATTATTTTTTTCTCTATGCTTTAAGTTTGTTTAATTATTTAATGAGTAACTATTATCCGCCCTCTCGGTTGCTTGTAGCCTGCTGGTTGCACTGCTAGTGAAACAGCTGTGAAGACAGGTGGATCGTAATCTCTAGGTAGCAAGAGCTTAGTAGCAGCCTGAGGATCATGTATCAACCCTATAATCCTGCCCTGCGTGCACAGGAATTATTATGTGGATTCAGGAAAGCCTATTGGACTTGAGGTTCACAATTGGACTTGAGGAGGTGACTCAGGTCCAAGTTAGGGCTAGAGTTAGCCCTGTAAACAACTGACTCATATTTTCTGGGCTCTTCCCCCTAGGATTCTAACAACACCACAGAAATAGCCACTTTGCTCACAGGTTTTTTCCCAGACACACACAGGGCTTGTCTCAGTCACTGGGAGGCCCTTGTCTGCTTTGAACTTTCCCCTTCTAGGGGCCTCCTAGCGGGCAGATGAAGAATGGAGTTTGTGCTCTGTTTTAATCCCCCCTGTTTGCTTTTAGAGGCCTGGTCTGGAGGGTCACCTGAGGCAGCTCCACCTTCCCCAGGGAGAATGGCAGCTGCTGGTGGCAGTGTAGCAAGTTCAGCCCTCAGAGCTGGAGGCCCAGGTGGGGGAGGGAGTAAGAAGGGGAGGGTGGAGTGGGCTCCAGTGGGTCAGTGGGCCAAGATTCCTTGTGTGTGTGCATGTACGCCCATGACAGTCAGACCTCCCAGGCTGTCCTCTCTCAGGTGATGTGCAGCTTCCTTCAGGGAAGAGGGGAAGAAGGTATGGCAGAAGCAGCTCCTTTTTATCCTAGCCTGTTCCCGGCAAAGGAAGGGACAGTTCACGGTCCTTCCCACTTTAGGAGGCGGATAGGAGGGAGGAGCCTGTACTCACAACTGGATTGAGAACTCCCCCTGTCAGTCCTGGGGTGCCCTCTGGAGGGTTGTGCTGAGGGACCTTCTGAGGGAGGCAGGGCAGGTGGTAAAATGAACCTGTGGTAAAATAACCCAGGGGCCAAGGAAGTTTAAAAAGGAAGCAGACAAGGTACTGGTGTTGCAGCTTTCAGGAGGAGTCTGGACGTTACAGGGAGGGTGTGGCTTATCTTCTGTGGTTAGTCTGGAAGGCTGAATGTACAGTGTGTTGGGGCAGCTGCGGCTTCAGTTTGCTCTGGAGAGGGCGGTGAACAGGGCCAGAACTCTGCATTCAGGATACAAGAGCCGCTTTATAGCAGATTACTGGCTTTACCTGGGAGTCTTGGAAATTTTCCACTTTTATTTCATATTCACGGAAGAATTTCCAGCCCAGACCTTTCCTGCTCTTGCTCAGGGCTGCTCACAGATATGCAAAGCAGAGACCTCCCACCCCAGCAGGCAGCGGCAGACAGGACCCAGCTAGCAGCACTTACACACTGACTCAGCTCAGCCTCCCCAGCAGGAGCGGTGTGGTCCAAGTGTGTCGCCTGGGTGGCCACCTCAGGATCAGCCATGGAGACTCCAGCGTCAGGCTCAGGTCTGTGTTGTGGGTTCTGATGATGGGAGTCTGGCAAACGCACAATGCAGCTTCATTTGCTTTTAAAGTGGCACTGAGCTTCCTTTTTGGAGGACTGTGGTGCCATAAAAGTTACTGTTTGTTGAAATTACTGTGGTTTTATAACTTTCTAACTTGAGACACTTCTTCATGGTCCCACGAGCATGTTGTATGTAACAACAAGATAAGCTGTATCACTAGCTGATGCCAGTGAATTCTCAGTTAAGCTGCCTAAGCTTGCTGGCTTTAGCTGAGAAACAGTTGAAAAGTAAGGCTTCAGCAAGCAGCTGGAGCAGAAGCTCTGTTTGGCATCTGTTTTCCTTGATGTGCCTGACCGGCCAGTTTTGTAGGTCTGAGAGGAGAGATAAGCCCTGGAGGGAGGGATTGGCAGGTGGGAACTGTGTGCCAAGGATGTCCAGAGACAGCAGATACACAGTCCAATCTTCAGGCCTGCTGACTGGGACCATCTCCCCAAGTGGGTTACGTGGCCTCTGCCAGAGCATGGAATCAAGTCTTTGCCAATTATTTAAGACACTGGTAGTAGTTCTGTAAGAAATTCATATGGAATCTGTTGGGGGTGGGTAGGAAGAAAGGGGTTTGTGGGGAAATATGACTTTGATTCTCAAGTTTTTGACATGCCTTTGGAATCTGGGATGAGGGGCTATATGAATGCAGTATCTCTCTAGTCGTTCACCATAAGGCCTGTTCTACCAGCAACAGGTATTAACTTCTTATGATCCATTTTGGAAAAGGCTGATTTAAGATACTTCACTTAAAGGAAAAGGAAGATCTTTTGTAGAGAGGTGATCCTGAAAGAATGTTTAGTTGATGTGAGCAAGTTTAAAATGCCTCATGGAAGAACATGGGAGAAACTGTTCATGGCAGAACTTTCAACAAAGGGTCCCCCAAAAGCCCTCTTGTGAGGCGGCCTGGTGGGGTGTGGTTGGTCAGCCCTGCATGTTCTGTGGACGTGAAGGATGAGTACAGAAGGTGGTGGTGAGCAGCAGCCATCCCACACGAGCTAATGCAGGGATGAGTTTCAGTGGTGTCATTTTTATTCCCTTTGGGTTGGTATCTCTGTGGTGAAGATGTTTGATGTTTTTCTCTTTTCATAAACTTGTAAGCCTATGCATTTTCTATCTTCTTTGTGTTTGTAAAATGATACTATAGCAGCATGAATGCTGAAAATCAAACTTTATCTCACATACAGTCAGTCCTCTCATTTGATCACATGAATGTGTCTCTTTTACAGCCTTTGTCCATAGGGGATGCATTTTTTTTCTCATTGTAATCAAAGCAGGGGTACAGTTTTAAATATTAATTTTTTCATTTACTGTTTGCCACAGTAGTTTTTATATGATTGCACTGTCCTCATGATTACAATTTGGATTGCTTAACTTTTTCCCAAGTGAGTATGCTCTAATTTGGATGTTTTAAAGCTATTTTTATAAAGAGTGAAGGTAATATCTCTGTGTTTTTTTCCTGCCTTCAGATTCTTTTCTTAGAAGCAATTTCTTGAAGTGGGTTTACTCTGTCAAATGATACAGGTGCTTTATGGCATTGGCTACCCTTGGCCTGTGGTCTGACACCTACTTCTGAGATGCTATGTGAGATTTTGGAATGCTGTTCTTTACCCAAGTCCTTAGAGGTTGGGTTGGGGTGGGGTGGAGGTGTTCTGCCAAAACATCTTCCTCTGGGTCTAGTTTTTTTTTTTTTTTTTTGGATATTTTTCTTCCATTTTCTGCCCATCACTTACTTCTCCAAGCCTCTGCTTTGATGGTTTCCAGCTTCCCCTTCTCTCTGTTATCAGGATGTAGAAATCTCCACAGTCAGCTGTGTTCCTTTTCTTCTTTGCAAAGGACATGCCTTTGCTGCCTTGGTGTCTACTGCCACAGACCAGCACAGTGGCCTGCCAAGATACTTTTCTTCATCAGCTCCCTCTCACTCAACCTCCTGGGGGCAAGAGGAACCCAGGAGAGGCCTGGCCCTTGGTATGGAGGGAAGGAGGAAATTGGTTTCAGAGCCAAGGGGCTCACAGACATGCTTTGCTGTTATTAGTCTGCTTTCCTCCTTCCTGTCTGTGTTGTGAATGAGACCAATGTGTGGCAGAGACCACAAGGGCAAGCCTTCCCTCCCCCCCCACCCCCCTGCCCAGCACCGGAAATCTCTCTGCTACCTAGAATTATGGCACTTAGGACTGACAGGACCTTAGTGACCATTAGTTCAATCCCTTCGTCTCACAAATGAGAAAATGGGGAGGCACAAAGAATGATTGTCCAAAGGTTGCTCACAGTGGGTCCCTCCTCCTTTGTAATTGCTTCCTCTCCCTGCCAGACAGTAACCGGGTACAGTCTCACCTTCATCCTCATCTGTCAGACTGACAAATCCACTTCTCTCTTATACCTTCCTTAAAGGAACTATGGTCATAGGTAGACCTGAAACTCCTCATCCAGAGCCACTCCCGATACAAGTGACATGTTGGAAAGAATGCAGTCAGTATTCACCCATTCCATATGTATGACACTGGCAACACTGAGACCTGCCTGACACCCACGTACTGAGAGAGCAGCATAGCATGGGGGTTAAGAGTTGGGTATCAGGGTTCTAGGTTCAAACCCCTAAGGTTCAGAGAGAAAAGGGAACAAAAGGCTAAGACCAGCACAAATCTGCTAATTTACTAAAAGTGTGGCTCTGGGCAAGTTAGTTTTCTGTGCTTTCATTTTTTTTCATCTGTAGCAAAGAAATGCTAAGACTAACTGCAGTAATAACTGTAAAGCACTTGCCAGAGAGTACTCGTAAGTGCTACATAAATGTTGCAAGAAAGACAAGAAAGGAACCAACTAGGTGACTTGGGCCAACTACTGATGGTAAGAAACCAACATGCAGAGAGAGGGGTAAAGGAAAGTTTCTTTGAGGAAGTGAGTTTTCAGTTGGGTTGTGAAAGGTAAAGAGTATTCCTTTGCCCAAACCTTTATTTAATTGGCTTTTTCTTATAAGTTCTGGTGAGCTTGGGAGATAGTGCTACCACAATGGCAGGTTCTTTTTTTTTCCCAGCAAAAAATGTCTTGTGTTGTAGTGAGGAATGCAACCTTGGATTCTCTAGGTCTTAACTGTCATCTTGTGGGGCTTTTAATCATTAACCCAGTCCTCTGGGCTCTGGTCTTCCCCTCTGTGTGGTGGGGAGTGTAAGGTTTGGTCATTGTTGCATGGTCTCCCCGAAGGGATTTCTTCGTGCTTCTCCCTCCACCATGGAAACAAAGCCTGGAAGTAAAATCAGGCCAGCAGGACTGCCAACATGCCACAGATTCCCTGAGTTCAGGAAAATGGGCTGGACAGTTCATTCTTTGACTTGTGAACATTTGCTTTCTCATGAAAACATGATCTGACTTATCATATCCAATGACTTATTGAACTAATTTTAAACCTTGGCATGCTGGGTTTGGTCTGGAGAGTTCCTGAGTAGAGCGCTAACCCCCAGGGGACCTGGCCCTTCTTTAGTGCTTCTCCTCCCACTCACTGGCCACTCCACCATTCAGTAACTCATGAGGTTTAACCCTTGTGCTTTCTCTGCTAGCTGAGATGCCGCGCCAGTTCCCCAAGCTGAACATATCTGAGGTGGATGAGCAAGTCCGGCTCCTGGCAGAGAAGGTGTTTGCTAAAGTACTCCGAGAAGAGGACAGCAAAGATGCCTTGTCCCTTTTCACCGTCCCCGAGGACTGCCCCATTGGACAGAAGGAGGCCAAGGAGAGGGAGCTGCAGAAGGAGCTGGCAGAGCAGAAGTCGGTGGAGACTGCAAAAAGGTTTGTTCCCATGACTCAGCACTGTTGTGTGTGCCCGTGTGCAGACCCAGGCAGGCTATGGGCAGGTGTCTCATGGGAATTGGACTGTCACTGTGAGCTGAGATTATTTCTTAACCAAGGCCACATCATTCACCATGTGTTTACTGCAGGTGCCTCTGGTTGGTTGCAAAGATTGAAAACTGCTTTTTCTCTGCAGCTGGTTTAATAACACATCATGCACATAAATGCCCATGTCCAAATGTTTTTTTCCGTTTTCTTTTTGGAAATTTGAGGATTTCTTGGGGACACATCAATTTTACTTTTTTTTCATCATTTGACAGGTATTTTGCATTATTAATTAATCTAGCTCAATCTTTGCCAGGTGCTGGGCACTGGGGAATGTGATAATGAACAAGATAGATATGAACCCAGTCCTGTAGAGCTTACATTTGGTCCAGACAATAATTAACTGGACAAATTAATTAAAAGATGACAAGTATGGTAAGTACTGTATCAATAAGTGCCTAACCAGGAAAACCATGTGAGTATTAGAAGTAGGATTTTAATGCAGGGAATTGTTTACAAAGGTGATAGAGAACAGACAGGGGAGAGTGGCAACCTGGAGATTATACACAGCAGGAAGCAGCTACTACCTAGTCTGGAGTGACAATGAACAGTGGTGGTGTTGCTTGGTAGGAAAGTTGCAACCGTGGAGACCTTTCCAATGGAAACTGGAGCCAAGGAGGAGAAGTACAGGCTGCAGACGCCTCCCAAGGCAGATCAGAGACAGGAAAAACATGGCTTTAACCCTCTGGCACTTCCCAGTTTTCCCAGGTGACTGCCTTTGGCCAAATGTAGCCAGAAGTCAGCTGACACATAGCTGAAAACCTAGGAGAGAATGCACGGTGGGTCTGAGGACAAACAGGCCCAGGTACAGTACAGGTGCTATGGAGGAGATGAATATGAAGTTAGAGAGGAATGAGGGGTGGGTGAGTCTTTTTTTCTGAAGGAGTAGTTGGGCCAGGTCTATTAGGGGAGGTGAGCTGATACTGATGGCATAGGAGGGTGCTAGCTGTGCAGAACCGCGTGAGACCTTTTCGGTAGCGGAGTCAGCCAGGGCAGATGCCCTCAAGTATCTTCACCAAGGCCTGTAAGGAGAGGTGTGGTTAAAGGGAGAAGAACCTGCAGGTGGGAGGAGTAGGCTGGGCCCACATCAGACTGGCCTTGTGCTCCTTGATAAGAAGTTTGGATCTGAGTCCATGGGCAGTAGGAAACTTCATGCTTTCACGGCTTATTTCACCCAGGAGAGCAGAATTAAAGAATAAAAAAGCTTGGGCAGGTGTGTGGTGGGGCTGTAGCTCACCTGCCCAGCACACTGCAGAACTAAGCTCTAGGTCCTAATATACTTGCCTATTTTTAAAAAAATTCTTTTTTTTCCCATTTTTTAAAGATTTTTCATTTTTTATTTATGCATACAGAACTGGGGTACAGGGGCGGTGAGAGGACTCACCACAGACAGAGTGGGGAGCAGAACAGGCAGATTGATGACGTACACAGCAGTGGCGGGTCAGAAGAGGTCTGCTTCACCATGGAAATCACCTCCGGGGCTGGGAACTCACTCTGAAGTGGCCTGTGGCCTGCTTGCAGTGCTGCGTCCTAACCCATTGCACTACCAGGGAGGGCCCGATATTCCCTATTTTTAAAGGCAATCTTTCCTTTTCTTGGTAGTATGGAATTTTAGTATGTCCTTAACTTTATAGGGAACAGAGGTAAATACTGGAGTCTCAGCATGAAGGTGAGAACAGAGCTTCACCATCTCTAAGTGCTTTCTTTCCTTGAGGGACTATGAGCCTATGAAGTGCAGGGTCATCAGTGCCATTGGCCAATTATGAGCGATAACCTGTGTTGGGCAAAATGGTTGGCGCCAGGCCTGAGGGCATGGTCTCCTGGAGGGTAATGAGATCCCCATCTCACTGTGCTTGCTTAATTTTATGAGTGAAAGGTTTGCAGAACCTTCTGTGTTGAATGAATTGAGCATTTTAAACCCTTCATAATAAGAACAGAAGGATTCCTGGTACTTTTATTTCAGGAATAATATGTTTTCGAGATCAGTTTCCATTATAGAGTGACACTGGATGGACAGCTGCAAAAGGAGATTGTTCTCTTATCAATGCCCATGCTGAAAGCAAAATGGACACTTTCTTACTCTGAATTCAAATGGTGCTCTGTAGTTTCTCCAAATTTCTCTGCAAACTCTGCTCCAGAAGTTTTGTTCTTACATCGAGGTTGTGGTGGTCTTTGTTTGCATCCAACTGCCTCCTTTGACTGGAAGCTCCAGGAATTGTATCTGGTTCCTATTGTATCCCCTCAAGCCAGCACAGGACCTAGCTAGCCTGTGTTTGCAACAGAGGAGAGACATTCTGCTTCTCCATTGCCACCAAAGACACAACATCAGTGTGGTCACAGTTCCCTGGAACTACCGTGGTCTACCATTTGTTAGTAAGCTCTGTGACCTTGGGCAAATTAGGAAATTTCTCTGTGCCCCAGTTTCTCCTACATATATAAAGGAGGGATGGTATCTTCATGTAGGAAGGAAGGAAAGCACACATGTAAAAAGGTTAGGATAATGCTGGGGTCAGCAAGCCCTAGCCTACAACTGTTACCTATTTGTCCAATGTCTTGCTGTGGCGAGGGCAGCAATAGCAGCTACAGTTTACCGTGGGCTAGGTGCTGGGCTGTGCAGTTGATCTTCATTCTCCAATCCCTATGTCAAGCTTTCCAAGTGGCTTATCATTTTTATAGGTTAGGAAACCAAGGCTCAGAGAAGAAAAGTAACTCTCATAAGATCACACAGCTAGTCTTGTATACAGAATCCCTTTACCCTGGAGGTTAACCCAGTTTCTAGTTGGGGGTGGAGTCTTTGGTTCTTGATCTGTAGACGCTAGAATTACACTGGGTGTTAACCACCAGGAGCCTACACCCTGTTAGTTTTTAAACTAAATGGAGGGAAGCTGGGTCAAAGCCCCACCCCCAAACCCCACCCTTCTTCTTCACCAAAATACAGCCAGGGGAGAACTACCTGTCAGACATCCCAGTGTCCTCTGGAGCTTTTCACCCATTTTGTCCTGGTCTTTCAGAGTCACTGCTCCCTAGAGACACCTTTATGCAAATATTCAGATGTGAACAGTTCCCATTTTAACTCTGGCTCCTCCCTGATGATCTTATATAAGGAGTTTTCCAGTGAGACAGGAAACCAGCAGGGTCTCCAGCTTCTCAGAGTCTGAGGGTTTGTGTTTCAAGCAGTCATATGCTATGAGGCTTCCAGTTTGGAAAAAAGTCCTTCCTCACCCTGGCTTCTCTCACAAACTTGATGTTTCTGGTTTTTGAGAAAGGCTTTACAACACTTTTCTTTTTTCTCTCATTAAAAAAAAAAAGACTAGGACTTTTGTAAAAGCACAAATGGACCCATGGAAGGGAAGTAGCTCCTTTCAAGAAAAAGAAAAATTGGGGGCATGAGTAAGAAAGATGAGCCCCTAAAACATGGTCCAGGTGTCCAGTAGTTGTAAGGACTGAGCTGGGCTTAAACACAGCCTTTTTAGTACTGTGGCCTTTCTCCAGGGAGAAGTACTTGTGTTGCAGACTAGCTAGGCTCAGATTTGGAGGCCAGCAGGGAGAGCGTGCTTCAGGGATCTCTGCCTCCCGTGGAAGATGACATTGGTCAGGTCTGTACTGGGACTCAAGGGTGGGTCAAGGGGGGGAGGGAGTTGGAATCAAAATCAGTAGATGAAGACAAGAACACAGGAAAACCCTGGGGATACCCAGTAGTTACCTGGAGCCAGCAGCAGGGGTGGGAAGCTGGAACTGTGGAGGCTTTTCTGAAGGAAACTGAAGCCCAGGAGGAGAGGTAGCACCTGCAGATGCCTCCCAAGACAGCATCTGGATTTTGGTTTTAACCCTCTAGTTTCACATATTAACTAGCCAGAGTTGACCTACCCTAGTGGTTCATAGCTGGCACTTAGCTAGAAACAAATACAAAATTTCTGAGCAACCTCACAGTCCTTTTGTCCATTCTCTTATTTATTTTTACTTTACACAGAGTTCTAGTAAGCTTGGTTATCTTATTTCTTATTCTGTGGCAGATTTAAAGAGCAGATAGAAGTAGGAAGAGGGACTTCTAGAAGCAGCGTCATGAAAGTGTGGATACTATGAGTGCAGGCTGTGGGGGTCAGACTGACTGGGTTGGTTCAAATGACAACCTTGCCTCTTGTTTGTGAGTGACCACACTCACAAGGCTGTTACCTGTGGGAGTCTTTTCCTGATCTGCAAAAGGCAGATAATGGAAGGACCTACCTTGTGAGAATTAAATGGGCTAATAAGCATGACTGCTGAGCACAGTGCTTAAAACATCATCGGTGTTCCCTGTTTTTGTTACTATTACTCATTAACACCGAGGGAGGAAACTGAGTAATTATGAAAAGCAGATGCAAGAATTCAAAGCATAGCAGTCTCAAGACAAGATGCCTCTAAGATGGTGACTGGATAGGGCAGTGATGATCCTGAGTCATCTGATGAACTTTAAATTATGTTTGGCATGCTCTGATTAGGTGCAGGAATTTTGTCTTCCTTTATAATTGAAATTGTTTTTTAAATGAGGGCTTAAAGGGGACAGATGTTATCTGAAAAATCTAGTTCTCCGGAACAGTTCCTTCTCCTGAAAATGTTTTGAATAAAATAGGAAAATATTTGCTATGATTAAAGCTTGGCACAGCTAGCATGTTGTTAAATCACTTTGTTTTATGAAACTTCTTAAATCAGGGGTAGGCAACTTTGTAAAATTTAGGGCGACTGGCAAAGGAGCTTCATTTGAAGCAGTCAGTTCACCTGCTTTTGAAGGACTGATAGTTTAAGACTTAGTTTGAAAGGTAGTAGACTCTGGGGATTTGGGGAGAAGGGCAGCTGGGAAGGACCTGAGAAAGGGAGGCTGGGAGAAGGCAGTGAATGGAGACCCGTGTGAGCAGGAG